AATGGGGCTGGGGGCCCCCCCCGCACCCAAAAATGGGGCTGGGGTGCGTTGCGCGGTGTGGCCGGGGGGACCCCCTGCACTGCGAGATGGGGCGGGGGTCCTGCTGCTGGGGACGCATCCTGCCAAAGGGACCCCGCACCCCATGAAATGGGGCGATGCTGCCGGCGTGCAAAACCTGGCGGGAGCGGGGGTGTCTCTCTGAGGACCAGTTCTGCACTGGCAGCTCTGGACTCGGCTGTCTCTGAAGCCGGCGGAGGGAGGGAGGGATGGATGGATGGAAGGATGCTGGGTGCAGCTGGAGCCCTGTGAAGAGCCCAGAACAGCTCCACGAAGCACAGCTGCCCTGCGAGCCACGGGGCGCTGGCTGGGGACACCGCCGTGGCCAAGAAGCAGAAGCGTGCAGAGGGATCTGGGCAAGGCCTTGCTGCTCCCCAGAGCCCTTTGACTCCTGGCCTGTGCTGGCTCAGAAAGCTTTAAGGAACGTTTCCCCGCCCTTGTTAGCACAGGAAAGCAGTGAGGGTTTTTATTTCCCCATTCCAGCAGCTAAAGAAGGCTATTAAATATTAATTAACCCTCCTCTGTCCAGCATGGCCCCTCGTTGCATTGTGGGACGAATATTCCCAGCGTTTGCTTCTTCTGGGGCAGCTCCTGGCTCTCCTCAGCAGGTACGGAGGAGCAGGTCTCTAGAACGTGTGTTTTCTGACTGTAGCGGCCCCGCGCAAGGTGTGCAAGCGTGTTGGCAATCGCTTTGCTTGTCTCAAGCTTGTTATACAGCGAACTATAAATGTCCAAATTGAATCTAGGTCACCTAAAAGAGACGCGGACCATCCCTTCTGTAAGCACAGAGCCTTTGTGCACAGCCCCTGGTTGTTCACGTGCGTCGGATGGACGCCAAGCAGCGATTAGCGGTTTGCTGTTTCCTTATCTTCCGCAGCCCGGAGCTGTTAGCGTGGCTCCGGGCTGAGAGCGGGCTTCTGAAATCCGGACAGAGGTGAAGAGATACGACGTGGTCCAAATGGCTCCCTCGACACACAAATGCTAATTAAGGTGATAACTCCGTCTGCTGCTCTGGTGCATCACCAGACAGCTATTTTAAAGGCTTTTCTTGGTGGCGACCTTACCGCAGCTGACTGGGGCAATGAATTTTTAGGCTTGAAAGGACCATAGTAGCCAGCAGCCCGTTGGCGTTGTTCTTGTGTAAATATTTGCTTTAGCTGTGGTATCCAGACAGCGTTGCCTTTGGCCCCTCCGCTCCGGCTTGCCGAACTGCTGCGGGGGCTTTGGCAGAGGTTTGGAAAGGCTCACGTGGCTGTACCTCAGGGGACATGGCTTGGCCTCTTCACAATGGAAACCTTCACTGGACTTGTGAACACTTGCTTACCTACGGGAAAACTTGCTTTCTGGGCTTGGCCTGAGTCCATGAGCGCGCTCTTAGGTCTCTGCAGCTCGGGCCATAAGTTCCACCTACATTTTGGAAGGGTGTTGCTGGTTTATGGAGTTCCTGGTGCATTTTCCTACCTCCTCTTTGTCCCATCCGTCACACTGCGCTTGCAGCTGTGCCTTAAATCGGCTCGGAATACCGGCCTGGCTGAAGAGTACAGAGACTACTTGAATACCGGGGTCTGCTCAGCATCTAAACTCTGACTCGGCCACCTGCGTTCGAGTCCTGTAGCTGGAGAACGTGCTTTCTTTGGCTTTCGTCAGGTATCCCTCGGGTAGTTCAACCCCAGCTTAAACTTGCCTGAATTTAGTTTTCCACACTGAAATACCTCCAGCCTGGCAGAGAGGATGTGCCGTTTATAACTTTGACCTTTATTCAAAACT